TGAATTGGTGCCAACCTGATGGTGGCTAACAATAACAACAATGTAAGTTGTTATCTGTGTTAGATAGATAGCTGTGTTAGACAGGATTCTCTAGAGAAAACCAGGATACTTATGGTTAGATAGATACAACACAGAGGAATTAACAGCTAATTAGTCCACACAGCATAGAGGGCTCAGTTCATCTCACTTCCGTGAAAGTTAATATACTGGAAGTCCTTCAACTCACGAGGGCTGCTGGGTCCAAGGTCAAGGAAGCAGACAGCTGGGTCTTCCCCAGAGCAACGAAGCAGTCCTGTCACAGGCAGAAGACAGCAGGGCAGGTCACCAACAGTCAGCTTCTCAGGCCCAGACGGGATATCGAACTCAAGCAATGCAAGAAGACAGGATCCACCATCCTCAAACTCAAATAATGTATACACCAGCAGCGTGGTGAAGCAGGTCTTGAAGGAACCTCATATTCTAGCGACAAGATCCGTGGGTTGTTTGTCCCACAGAGTGTGTAGCTCACAAGTTGAGGCAGAGAACCAGCTAAAGCAGCCGCATGCTGGTCCGACCACCAGAGAGCAAGGGAGAGTGGAGGTGGGGCGGGCAGAGCCATTTATCTCTTCCCCCCAAACCAAACTAAGATCTATTAATCCCACATGTTCTTATTGGCCAGGTTGGCCCAATAGAACCTGCCTATCACACTATCTAAAAGGTATGTTAAACTGATTATGCCTAAAAACAAATTCCTAATCTGTCTGCTACTAAAAAGGGTCTTTTCCATTTCAGTTAATGGCTACCTTTATCCTTTTTCTGTCGCTTTGGCCAAAAACCTTTGTGTCATCCTTAGCTTTTTTCTTAATTTCACACATCTAATCCTTTAAAAATCTTGCTAGCCCTGGTGGTGTTGTGGGTTATGAGTTAGGCTTCTAAGCAGTTTGAAACCACCAGCTGCTCCACAAGAGAAAGATGAAGTTTTCTCCTCCCACAAAGAGTTACATTCTCAGAAACCCACAGTGGAATTGCCATCCTGCCCTATAGGGTCACTGTGAGTTGGGATAGACTCAAGGGCAGTGAGAAGTGACTAGCCCCAATTTCAAAATAAAGCTATCCTATCATCCTCCTCATCGCCTCTGAAGATTGGACCCATGCAGTGGAGACCTGAAGGCTGCGACCAGCACTCTCTTGGGTGTGTTCACAGGGCTCTGCTCTCTTCTTGCTTCTGCATCTCCTTCCCTCGTCACAGCACATCCCTAGTTGAGTGTCTAGGGTTTCAGAGAAGAAAATCCAGGAAGAGGGTTATCTTTAAGCAGTTCTGCTCCAGCTGCCGTGATGTACTGGTGACGTGCTTAGAGCCATGTGAAGGAAGACTATCATGGAGAATTAACATTTCAGAAAGAATACCAAGGCTAGCCCAAGAAACATGATGAACATTAAAAACACTAAGCTGAGTGAAGTAAGACAGTCACAAAGGAGCACGTGTTTCATGAATCCACTAACAGAAAATATCTAGCATAGGCAAGGATACTGTGACCACAGCCATTGCCAGGGCCAGAAGGGAAAATGGAAAAGGGTAGGGATGGGGTTCACGCCTGGAGCTTCTGTTAGGGGTGATGGAGACTTTTGGTATTGGGTATTGATGGTGGTTATGTAAACAACGTTGATATAGTCTGTTGCACATTTACCACAATAAAAAAATGATAGGTTGGGTCAGTTCTTTTTTTCTTTGGATCCAGAGGATTTAGGTACCCCCACAAAGTTTGAATGTTCTGGGGTTTAGGTAGTTCTCTTTTTGTTGTGGATGTCTAATTTCATCCCCCTCAAGCAAGGAAGATCAAAGTCCGATGGGCAACCTGCTTAGGATTGAGATGGGGGAAAAACCAACATTTCAGTAAATTCTTCTGAGTGAAAACAGTTACCCTTGAGAGCGCACCTGGGAGGCTGCTGGGGATGTGGCTCTGTGAAGAAGAAACCCACCACCGCTCCCTCCTAACGTTGAGGTAGGATACTTCTGGCCTCAGTCGTTGAGCTGATTCTACTCACAGTGACTCCATAGGTTGGCGTAGAACTGCCTCACTGGTGTGCTAGGCTGTAACCTTTATGGGAGCAGGTCGCCAGGTCTTTCCTCCTGTGGAGCGGCTAGTGAGTTCATCCACCAACCACATGCAAGAGCCGAATGCTCAGCCACTGGGCCACCAGCACTCTTTCACGGAGACCTTTGGAGTCTGAAAGGATCACAGTGACTTCAGGGGAGAGATGGTTTTAGTTCTGGCAAGGTGGTGGCCGCAATGCTCAAGGCAGGTAGGTGGATAGTGAGGCAGTGCAAGCAGGGCATTAACCAGAGAAAACAAAGGGCGTAATAAGACACAACTTCTTCCCATTCAAGTGACCCCAGAAAGTTGATCATGGTAAGCCTGTGGATTAGTATGATGGGACTCCAATTACTTTGATGAGCAAGTATTTCCTATAACAAGCAAGCCCCTTTTCGATCAAAATAAAAATCCCATAGGAGAGCATATTGACCTTGGGATAGAAAAAGTTAATCTCATGGCAAGTTGAAGTAATTATGATTCCTACAGGACAGTCTCATTCCCCCAACATGCCTAGCACAGCCATGCGTTGCTTGATGTCCACAGTATGCATTCTGAAGTAGGACATTGTGTGATTTGGATGTATTGTGAACACCATAAACGAAATCACTAACAACAGCTTTTATGGATTTTCCGCCTTTGTGTCAGCAGAGTTGGGTTGCTAACCACAAGGTCAGAAGTTCAGCCCCACCTGTCACTCCAAACCCAAAACATGAATGAGGCTGCCTGCTCCTGTCCGGACTTTGTCTTAGAAACCCTTGGAATGGACTCAGTGGCAGTGGGGTGTTTTGTTTTTGTTAGCTATTTAAGAACATTCTGCTTCCCTGAAATTGAGGACTTTTTCTTCTTTTTCTTTTTGTTGCTACCCCTAGCATTGGTTTGGTTACATTTGGGAACCATGATGCACTTTGGGAACCGTGGTGCTAGTTTCAAAAGGAAATTAGAGATAGGTGATAAAACTTGAGACGTATGGATCAGATATTGCTAGCTCTAAGCTGATGCATACATTGTAGTAAATTTTTATTTGTAAGTAAGCACAGTTCACATTAATATAATAGGATGAACAAGAACAGCACATATGTAGGCAAGGGACATGGGCCTTTATTATGACTATCAAGATATATGTATTCTGTCATGTATGTGCTTGACCACTATGTACCTGGCAGTGTAATTGCTTTGTGTGGAGACGTGAGATACATGTTGCTGTTGTGTTTGCTATGTCTGGTTACATCCACTTTGTCTTGTTCTCCAGTCAGGATTTCTGAACTCTGTACGAATCTTAAGGGACCTCAGGTGTATATAGTCACATGTGGTCTAAAAGGATGCCATATGGCACCTGTCTATGCTTACTCTTTTCTAAGCTATGACTGATTTTTTAAATACATATACAGAAAGGCATATCTGTATCTATGAGTCGGAACTGACTCAATAGTACCTACCATATAATAAGCTATCAAAGATACCTACCACCAGGTATTTTAGTGTCAAAGTTCAATATTTCCCAATATCTAAAATGTTTCTTTTGGAAACCCATGGACACTGATTTACACTGTGAACTGAATCAAACTGAGCTGAAATGTTTGGATTTTGTCATTTCCCCCTTTCAACAAACCGCATCCACCTCTCTCCTCCCCTAGGCTTTGCTACTGGGAGCAGGACGCACTGTTTGTGGTTCCAATCCTGTCAGGGTCATCTACTTGTCCTTTCTCAATGGCATCCTGCTTTGAAAGACTCCTTTCCGACCAGTCACCCACTCAACAAACACAACGTAAGCACCCGTGGGGTTCTGCCCATGTGTTTAACATGTGGGACACCTTCCTTTGCCAGTGTATTGTCCTGAGCTTCCCGTGGTAGACCGAGGGTTTGCGGGCAGGCCCTGTGTTGTCATCCTCCTGGTAACTCCAGCTCCTATCACATGGTAACTGGTACACAGGTGGCTTTCTATATGCTTATGAATAACTGCATCAGGATGGCCTTTGCTAGCCCAAAAAAGCGTCAGGTTTGTCACAGAATAGGTAAAGCAGGCCTTCATAGCTAACAAATTAATAAGTGGACCTGTGCTTCATTCCAGAATGTTTAGGAGACAGGAGAGTTAAAAGAATTTTCTATTATTAGAAAGCAAAAGGCATAGTTATTAATCTTGTGAGTTAGTGATGGATGATTGTGGTTGCAGGCAGGGGGAAAAGTCCTATTGTTAGAAATGCATATTGAAGTAGTTATAGTGAAATTCCATAATGCATATGTAATTACTTTAAAATACACTTTAAGAAGATGACAACAGATGAAACAATATGGCAAAATATTTATTGCTCTATCAAGCTCTATGCATATTCTAGTCTAGATTAACATTTTAAAATGTAATTTGGCAATATGACAAGACTGGTGGCATAGTCCATACTAATTCAGCTGCTAACTTCAAAATCAGCAGTTCAAAAACACCAGCAGCTCCCCTGGAGTAAGATGGAGCTTCCTACTCCTGTGAGAGTTAGTGTCTCGGAAACGCACAGGGGCAGTTCTACCCTGCTCTATAGGGTTACTATGACTTGCCATGGACCCCACGGCAATGAAGATAATAATAATTTAGAAATTACTGTGGTTGGATTTAGGTAAATCAACAGTAAATAAAGGGTACCAGAACTCTAACCTGAGTGGGTGTGACATGCATAGAAAATATAGTATAACTGAGTGTTTCACAGCAAGTTATTCAAAAGACAGCATTCTAAATGAACTATGGGAGAAAAGGGAGGAAATCTCTTATTTAGGAATCATTTATTCACATTTAAGAAAATAAATTTCAAAAGCATAAGACAAAAACTGTGATCAGTTTATTTCTATTTAGGGAAAATAAATTTTTCTTTGCATATCTTCTTGAATGCATGAACATTTCTTATACATTTAAAATCAATTATTTACTGACATAAATAAAAATAAATAAATTAATGTTAATATTACAAAAGAGTATGATTTACAATTTTGCTATGAACATCTCACTTTGCAAATATAGATTATTTTCTTATGTTAATATAATCTCTGGGTACTTTTAAAGACATAAAAAATACATAAAGCCAAAGAAGACTGCTTTGTTCTAAGGGCAAACTTGCACAGCATCTTACAGCTAATAGGCTTCTTCTGAGTTCCTTATCTGTATTTGTGTAACAAAGGAAGAAACAATCTTATCTATGCTCCTCCCTTGCCAACAACTACCCCAAGAAACTCAATACTCTTGGGTTATTAGCATGCATTTTCTTTAAAATATTTTGCCAACTCATTTGGACTTGTTTAAAAGAATAAGGAAAGATGGAAGTGCTTTACACTCAAGATTTATAATGGATTTCAGGGTCTTCGGCAAATTTGCTTAGAAGAGACTGTTTCAATTTTTTGGTTTGTTTTTAGTATCCAATTCATGTTTGTTTGTTAATCATTGGTATCCAATTCCTGGTGTGTGTGTGTTTTAAATGATCCAACTAATGTTTTTCCTTTTTGATTTCTCTTTTTAAGTAAAAATAACTACTCATCTAGCGCAAATGAAAATCCCACGAATTTCCCTTCCCCATAATTATATTCTAACCAGGAGCCGGGCTCTGCCCCTCCCTCCACAGTGAGGAGAGCAACAGCTCTTCAACCACCGCTTCTGTTCTCAAGAGGTTCTGACATACTCAGAGTGTGATTTCAGGATAAACTTCCCCCTGGCTTCACAGACATTCATGAGGCTTAAAGACAATGAGACCATGCAAAACAAAGAGCACATTTCAATATTGTGTCATCTCATCCATAACTTCATAAAGAAACTAGAAATCGTCTGTGTACTTGTGTGCACCTTCTTCTTCCCAGCTCTTCTTTGGCTCTCGGCTAGCCCATGTTAACTAGCGTCATAAGCACAAGTATCAACGCTACACTTGTGTTTCCTGAAAGTTAAAAAAAAAAAAGGTAAAATCAAAATGATTTTATATTCACTGGTGTTAAGACTTACTTCTCAAGCTACTGTGTGATAAAATAATTAATAGGTTAATTTGGGATGCAAACAAAATGCAAAATTAGTAAATATTAGTCTAGACAACTCATGTCTGCAGTCACAAGAGTTTAGTAGACATAGCAATACCAATTAAACATCAATTACATTTCTTAAAATTAATAAGGGCAAAGGTAGAATCAATTAAGATATTTTCAGATTAAAATAAATGAAAATTCCCTGAAGAAACATATCCTACCTGTGGGTTAGAGAAAAGATTAGTCAAGAAAAGGTGGCACTTGGGGAATTTCATAAGTACATCCAAGCTAATTGTGAAATAATTTTGTATAATACAAACATGTCTTTTAAGAACTATAAACATGACATAAAAATGGTGCTTAAAACAAAGTTTTACATTTCCCAAACAACCAGGCCAAAGGAAAACAAACGCAGCACATAGGCCAATCTTCTCATGGCGCATACAGTCCTTCAGTGCAGGCATTCACATGAGAATGGCCTAGTGCAGCACTTTCTGCCCATCGCCCAGCCCAATATTTGTGGAATTGTTAAGCATCCCATCACTATAATAAACTGAGTGCAAAACACAAGGGAAGCTGATGAGCATCTCCAGGAAGAGTCAAAAAGAGGTGATGTGTCATGCTAACGAGCGATTCCTGTGATAGTCAGAGAGGCAGAGAAACAGACAAGTTTGTCAATAATAGAAGCTAAAACTTCTATTATCCATTTACAATCATAGACAGACCCTCAGCCAACTACATTGATGGACATTATGCACACCGCGGAAACGTGGTTGTACCAGAACCATATACCTTTTATAATTTACCCCAAGTCCTTACTGTGGAGGCTCCACCAGTCAATTGGTGAAAGACAACATTGGGGCTTTGTTGTTCGCATGTGTGTTATAAGAGCTGAACAGCAGAAAGGGGAGAAATCAGTTAAAGTGCATCATTTTAACTTCATCAAAATGTGAAATCAAACATTTTCTTGTAATGCTTATCCCTTTCATAAATGAACATGTGCCACATCCACCCAGTGCATCTCAGAGAAGTAAACAAAAATCCTTCCATAGGCAAACACAAGGGTCACCAGATGAAGCTAGTTACTGTTTCCCATTACCCTGGTAGAGGTCAAAATTATAAATTCAACCCATTGGAATTAAGGAGAATCACCAGCCACACAAAGTTAGCTCTCCCTCTTGACAGCATATACTTCAAAATTAAGTCAAGGGGAGGCTTTTTGTCAATGTGCCTGTGCAAAAGGCAAGTTCCTCCTGTTGAGTTTGCATGCATTTCACTCTGAGTCCCAGATTTGAGGAATTATAGAGATTTATCGCAAAATCCCTATAAGATTCAAACATAAGATATTCTTCCTCCTACTTTCCAGCATTTTTTTATTCTGTTGAAAAGATCATGACCAATTTAGTTGAACACAGTCTGTGAGCCAAGAAAGAGCACTTGGGGAAGGCTACACACCATCTTCCCGTACCAAGATGTCGAGCACGGAGCTCGAAACACATTCTTTCAAAAGAGCTGGAATGAAGAGCATACCTCAGATTTGTGGCTCAATTAATCCTCACAGGAATCTTGCTGAGGTATCGGTACCTGCCTGAGGCATCGGTACACTTTTATATGCCTTAAAATTCCTAGTTTTTGCCTTTTCTTTTTTTTTTCTTTGGCTGGGTTCTAAACCATTCGTAAAAAATTTCTGAAAAGAGTGTTATCTTTTTTACTACATTTTATAGCACTTAACACAATCTATTGACATTAAGAAATAAGGGTAACAATTAAGACAACAACCAAAATGGTTGTTCTAATGGTCACTTTTACTGAAAGATTAAGCCATGAACTGCTGTACAGGACATTGGGTACTTTAGCTTAACTAGGCTGAAGTCACACTACTAAGCTAAGGAGAGAGATGAGTGACAGAGGCTGGAAAGCACATAGCCCACATCACCCGAAGAATTCACGCAGACAATTTAGGAACAGCACGAAAAACCAGTTGTTCTTCAGAAATGGATGGGGGCTGCAGGAGAAGACAGACACAAGCACAATTTTGAAATAAGTTTGCATGGACCCACATGGGCTTTTCTAGCAAAACAAAGCTACAAAGCAGAAGAGGTTTCCATTTAAACACTCCTCTTAGTCTGTAAGATACTTTAGGCCAAGTATGGCATTTGTACTAAACGAGTTTGATGGAGATCGTATCTCTCATAATACAGCTTTTTTCTGAATGTTGTTTTCTTAACATTGGAGTACTTTCTGTGTGCCAAGAAATGCCTTAACCACTTTGGAAATGGCACTTATTCGATCCCCATTACAACCGAGTAGATACTACATTTCTCCTATTTCACAAATGAGGCAACTGAGGCACACATAGTTCGGTTGCTTGGTCATATCAGCTTAGGATGCCCACTGAGCAGATAAATTCACACTCTTCACTACCGGGCTCTTTGGGACTAGACGTGGACTCTAGTCATAGAAAAACTCAGCACAAGACCTAATCACATGCAATTTAACAACATGTTAGAGATTGACATTTCTGAGATTTCTTGGTACTAAGTAGAAAAAGAGAAGGGGAACTGATGACAACATGTGAGATTATGTCATCCAAATGGCTTTTCTTTGAAACAGTGTCCTCAACTATAGGAGAACTTTTCAAAAAATCACACCCATGCATGCACAGACACAGAGTCTGTTTACCTGGGAGATTGCAGACACACAGAATAGAGATTGCATGTCCAAAATTGCAAAACTGGGAAGAAGAAAAAGGTTTTACTGAAGAAGAAGAAAAAACGTTTCACTGGAAAGAAGCTAAACTTACTGGAAGAATACATTTAAAGAAAATAACCAGAACTTTGGCTCACCCTGATTTTCCACAGTCCCAGATAATTTTGACTAGAACTAGGGTACCAATTATAGTACCAGCAATCAGTCCTTGAGGGGGAAAAATTTAAAAACACAGTTAATAGAAACACAAGCAACAATATGACAGTGTAATTTCTCAATGATAAACATACTGGACATAGTGCATTTTAAAGAAAAAACCACAGGAGACACAAATGACATCCTTACATCACAAGACTAAGAATATTTCAAATAAAGTACGGAAATGTTCAAATCAAACTTGACAGATTTGAGAGGAGTCTGCGGTGTTCCAACTTCACCACACTCGATTTTAAATGTTTTGGTCATTCCCCTTTGATCACTGGATTCTGAAATTTGATATCTTGAGACTATAATTTAGTTCAACAGTTTCATTTGGTAGAGAGCTAAACTGAGGCTCAGAAAGGTGAAGGCCACAGATGGGCCCGTAGTAAAGCCATCAGATGTGCAGGCATTTCCCTCTCATCCATCCTCATTAGGGCAGGGAGGTTAGCATAGATTTACTTCGCCTATAGAACATGCTTTCCAATGTTCAGTTTATTGTAGAGGAAATTCCATTTAGGAAAACTAGTATCTCATAATAGAATTGAAAGCAGTACTTTACCTTGCATGATCACTACATGACCATATGAGATCACGTGTGTTATTGTTTTTAAGTAATCTGGGTCTTGGTAGGGTTTCAGATGCATTTTTAAATTAAGATGAAGTGGACCGTTGGCCTCAGAGGCTATCTGCAAGCCTCGTTTTCAGTCCTGTGCTGTCCTAACGTGCACTCCAAATCTACTGATGCATTCAGTCTCATAGAATGTTTGCATGCTGCTTTGTATTCTTCGAGCAGTTATTTCCTCCACACGCAGTTTTTCTTGCAGTATTTTACCCAACCATTTTCTTAACTGATCCCCTACTGCTCTTATCATTAGTGTAGAAAGACTCTATCCATAAAGCAAACTGGAGTGCCTCCAAAATCTTGGAATTCTCTTCCTCTCACCACTTCCCATTAATCTCACCATTTATAGATGCTTCAGAAACATCCCATTTACAATGTATGCGGTAAATGTAGAGAGAAATCTGTAGTGATTCCAAGTATTTAGAGTTCAGATTCTAGACACTAGAAGCAAAAGGTTTTTCCTAGAACACTGACCAGCAATGTTAATCAATAAGAAAGTTGGTGGAAAGAGATGGTTCAACAGAAACTGGAGAAAAACACAGAAATATGAGAAACACAATTCATTGTAAATGTTTTCCTCTGTCAGTTAATGAGAATATTATCTCCCAAATAATACTTTCACGTATAGAGGGGATCATGATCTCAAAATCCATGCAGTATCTACAGAAAACCATCCCAGAAATGAATCCATTTATCCATTTCAGATTTATGCAACTTGGGATAGATTAAACCATGAAATTATAAACATCATTGTGATTTTGATTCAAATGTTCCTAATCAACAATATAGAGAGGTCTTGGGTAGGAAAATTACAATTTAACAACATGCTTTTGTTGTTTTTTTTTTTAAAGAAACGGGAGCATTTTAGTGATATCCCTACTATGTAAGACTCTACGGTATTTAAAACATTGCAAAGCAGTTATTTACCTCCTATCTTATTTCATCACCTCCAGCCACTAGAATAGTGCTTGATAAATTTAGAGGAACCATTTAATAAATATTTATTAAATTGCATTGAATGCTATAGCCCTGTACATGAGAAAACTAAGGCCAAGAAAAGATAAATTAAGCAGTTCAATACTAGAGAAAATCTTATTTCTAACCATAGGTTTGTACCATGATTTTAATTGTCCATATAATTTCTAATAAAAATACTCAAGCTTTGTCAAACAAAATTTATAGTAGATGGGTAATATATTCTAACTACAAGAGGTAGTGGTAATCAAATGCTTGTCTCCTTTTCAGAAAAAATAATATGGTGACACCCAGAATTAAAAATGAAAAGGCTAGGATTCAGAACAAATTTTGATTAACTGCCAAACTTGGGAATTTTCCACTACACTGCATTACAAAATACCACTTCAAACATGAACACTCAATAGGAGTGATACCACCTTCATATGGTATTAAAAATCATAGTCTTTTATTTGAAATGAACAGATATACACACAGCATACAAACAGATTTATGGTATATCTGAGATATTAGAATTTCATGTAGGGATGATTAGAAAAAATAGGTTATAAAGGGGCAATAATGCAGAAAAGAATTGAGAAACAGTAATACAGAGCCAACAGAAGAATATACCTATTCATGGATTAACTATCTTTGTTATCTGACATGTCATATTGACAATAATTATAAATATACCATGTGACAACTCTGAATTAATGACAACATATGTCGAATAGTAACAAATGATAAGGCACAATGCGAGCGTCACCCTGCGTGTGGTGGCTGAGCTTACGTGTCGACTTGGCTGGGCCGCGGTGCTCAGATGCTTGGCCATTCTGCGATAATGCAATTTGACATTTAGGTAATGATGCAGTCATCTTCATTCTGCAACCTGATGTGGTCATCTTCCATTTTTGCACACTGACCTGGTCTTTGGACCAAATTGCTAAGTGAGGAGTATATCTTTAAAATGCACACCGCAAGCATCATTTACAAGGCAGAAAAGGACATTCTGTGATGATTGCTTAGTGCCACCGAGTCAGTTCTGACTGAGAGGGACTCCACACATGAGAGAATTAAACGCTGCCTGCTCCTGCACCATCCTCATAATCATCACTGAATTCGAGTCCCATTGCACCATTGTGCCAATTCATCTCTTGAAGATTTTCCTTTTTTTGACTCCCACATACAATGAGGCAACGATAAACACAATGGCTTGGGCCAGGTGCATCTTCGTCCTCAAAGTGCTATCTTTGCCTTTTAACAACTTAAAGAGGTCTTCTGCAGCAGATTTGCCCAGGACACTGCCTCGTTCAAGGAGGTTGGTTGTAGATTCAAATAAAATAAATCCTGGACAATTTAAATCATTTATCCATTTGTCACATTGCTCACTGATTCAGTTGTGAAGATGTTGAGGTGTAACTTCTAATGAAGCTGCAGTCTTTGGTTTTCATCAGCAAATCATCCAAGTCCTCTTCACTTTCCACAAGCTAGGCTGTGTAATCTGCATATTGAAGGTTGTTAATAAATCTGCCTCTAAGCTTTTAAAATCAACGAGTAGGACAGAGAGATCCTGGGGGTGTTGGAGCAACAGCAATCTAGCTGAGAGGAAGTACTAAGAGGCGGAAATAAGGTGAGCATGGTGGTGGGTGAGGAGGAAAGTAAAAGGAAGCAGAGGAATAATCTAGAAAGCAAAGCTATAAATAGAGGTATAAGCATAGTACATATGTAAACATATTAATTCATACAATAGAGGTATTGGCCTATGTACACATATTTATATGGCAATATACTGAGGGAGTGGACAGACTTCGGACCTTTCCTCATACCTTCCCCCTATATAAGAAAACTTTGTTCTCACAAACTGGCATTCTGTGATGCTCACCATCCCGGCACAATCACCGAAGACAAAATGGGTGCATAAGCAAATGTGGTGAAGAAAGCAGATGGTGCCCAGCTATTAAGATATAGTGTCTCAGGTCTTAAAGGCTTAAAGTTAAACAAGCTACCATGTAGCAGAGCAACAAGCAACAAGCCCACATGGAAGAAGCACACCAGCTGGTGCAATCATGATATCATCGGGACCAGGTAACAGGCATCAGAAGACCCATAACAAACAAAGAAACATATTGTTGAGAATGGGGGGGGGGGGGGGGGGGGGGGCGGGCGCATCAGTGCAGAGACCCAAAGCCCATCTGAAGACAATGGGACATTCCCCCACAGAGGGGTCACAGGAAAGGCATAAGTCAACCAGGGTGCAGTGAAGCACCGATTAAATGCACAATATTCCTCTTGGAGGCTTCCTCACGCCCCACTATCATGACCCCAGTGCTCCCTCTCACTTCAGACTAGACCAGAGCAGGTATGCAGGTACAGATAAGAGATAAGAGCTCACGACACATGGAATCCAGGAATAGGAATAGCGATACCAGAAGGATAGGGGAAAAGTGGGGAGAGGAGGGGAGGAAGGGGGAACCAATTGCAATGATTGGCACATAACCATACAGCCCCCTCCAGGGGGAAGAACAACAGAAACCATGGGGGATGAGAGACAGCGGTCGGTGTGAGATATGGAAATAATAATTTATAATTTATCAAGGTGGGGAGGGAAGACGAGCTGATCCCAAGGCCTCAAAAGAAAGTAAATGTCTAGAAAACAATGATGGCAACATATGTACAAACCTGCTTCTTGATACAACCAGTGCATGAATCGTTATAAGAGTTGTAAGAGCCCCCCCATAAAACGATCTTTTAATAAAAAATTAAATCTGCCTCCAATCCGGGTGCCACATTTTTCTTTAGATACTCTGGTCTCCTGGGTTATTTGCTTAGCATAGAGATGGACTAAGTATTCTGAAAGGACACAGCCCTCAGGCACCCTTTCCTGCTTCTAAACCATGCAGTGTTCCCTTGTATTGTTCAAGCCACTGCCTTTTGGTTTGTGTACATAGGTCCCCCATAACACAATGAAGTGTTCTGGAATTCTCATTCTTTGTAATCTTATCCTTAATTTGTCATGATCGACATAAACAAATGCTCAACTGAAATTCGTCTGCCATGGGAGGAGCTGCTGGAATCGGAAATGCAGAACCCCAACAAAAAGCAAACCACAGTACCACAAGCTGACAGGCCAATGACAGCTCTCTCTTAGCACAGCTAAGAAAAAAATCCAATCACGTCCCAAGATCAAATATCAACTGTATCGTCTACTTACATTGCAATGAAATCAATAAAAACATTACTTACTCATCTTTAATGTGAGATGTGACTTAATTCACAGAACAATTTAAGAAATAAAAATAATTTTAAGTTTATATTATACAAGTATAAGATCATCCCCAAATGTTACCATTATGTATTATTTAATAGGAATATGATTGATTTTTTGTTTTGAATGTAATCAGCCAGCCAGAAGATTTCTAGGAAACTACAGAGTACGCCCTTCAAGAATTTCAGGAGTAAACTTTCATCGAATGATATTGAGCACATGAGAAAAAAAATGCCTCTATTCAGCTCATCACTTTTAGGAACATTACACCAAGAGATCTGCATTTAGAACATGTTTATTCCTGTTTTAAATGTATAATAACTTCTGGAATGTTTCTAGATAAATCATTTAGGAGCGATTCATTCAAAATATAAAAACAGATAACAAGATAAATAATCATAATCATAATGATGACTTTTTAGCCTTATTGTCCCATGGCTAATTCATGCATGCAAAAGATAACAGTGTTAGCTTATAAGAACATAATCTAAATATATACGTTTTAAATGTAAATCCTACCTATTTGCTATTGGACTATACACTTTACTGATATATTGCCTTTTTGGTATGCCAACTTAGCTGAAACTGCTGCTGAACCAACACTTTCCTTACTATCTTCTTGAGTCTATTAACCTTGCTGGTAATGCACAATCATCAAATCACATAAGTCTGGGGAGAACAGAAAGGAGGGCTGGACCCAATGCAACACATGGCTAGAGCAACTGAACAATGATAACTTTGCTTCAAATAACTGAACAAAGAAAACAAACACCAATGCTTTCTAGTGGACGCCAGCTCCTGGTGATCCCATGGTGTGGCAGAACAGAACTGTGCTCCTTAGGATTTTCAGTGGCAGACTTTTGGGAAGTAGACTGTCAGACCTTTCTTTTGAAAGGAGTCCCTGGATGGCCACGAATCCCTAACCTGTTGGTTAGCAGCTGGGCTCAGTAACAGTGTGTATCACCCACTCCCTCACTCCCTGCCAGCGAGTCCATGCTCACTCATAGTGATCCTCTAGGACAGGGTAGAACTGCCCCTGTGGGTTTCTGAGGCTGTGATTCTTTATAGGAATAGAACGCCTCATCTTTCTCCTTCAGAGCAGCTGGAGTTTCTGAACTGCCAACTTCGTGATTAGCAGCCCAATGTATATCCATTACGCCAGCAGGGCTCCCTTTGCCCCCCCCCCCAGACTACTCTTACATCACTGAAAAGGAAGGAAAAGGAAGGAAGATACAAGCAAAGGTAGCATTCTTTGCTTGTTTGAAATTGGACGGAAATCCAGAAATGATTATGATTAACCATAGAATCTGAGGGTAGAAACTGCATGCATAACTGCTTCCTTCGTGTAGATTCTCTGCACCTAGAATGCTGCATCGACACAATGGGCACGCAGTAACACTTGATGGACTCGAAGGATCTGAAGTTCTCCAAAAGTTACCTTGGCACAAGAACATGGTTGAGAATACTTAGGAACATACCATACCCTTAGTGGCTTCCATAAAACATGCTGAAATGCATTTACCCATTTTCTCTTCGGTACCCCAAAACACCTCATTTTAATAGTACTCCTAAGACAGTTAAAAGACAATATTCTCTTCCAGGAATATGGATTATACATCCCACAATGATGACATTTTCTTTTAGCTGCTGCAGTGTCAAACTTACCAGATGCAAGGATTATAGCACCTGAAGAAGAAAAAGAGAATTACAAAAATTAAAGTTTAAGAAGGTACTGATTTGAAGCAACTCAATAGAAATATCAGTAAACAATACTTGAATGTTCCAAAGTCACTCATATTTTCATAACTAAAAGACATTTAAAAATCAATTTCTGATAACCATGATATGTTATTGATCTAACCAATATATACACACCAAGGCCTTCATATGTTTAAAAGAATCAACACTATACACAAAAACATGATAAAGAATGACTGACTATCAAAAGCAACTCTACCTTAATTTGACTACACGATTTGAGGGCACAAACAAGTTTGAAAATGCAAATAATAAAGAACTATGGATCCAAACCTACTATCAAGAAAGCTACTGAAAACCAAATCATCACAGCACTTTTAATGACTATGAATGACATGGTACAAACATAACTTTAAAAGAAATGTATTTATAATTAGTATTCTGCTCATGTTAGTGAATAAATTTACTCCAAGTGCCATTTATAACAGGCAATATTACACCGAAGAATAGGTACCGGCTGGGGAACCAATTTGTGATGTACTATGTAAGGTGCCCTGTTGATGTTTTAGTTAACCACTGGGTTGCTAACCACGAGGCCAGTGAGTCAAATCCACCAGCCTGTCCCTGTAAAGGTGTATAGTCTCAGAAAACCTGAGAAGCAGTCCTACTCTATCCTAAAGGATTGCTGTGAGTCAGACTCGATTTCATGGCAGTGTGTCAGGTGTGGGTACATTACTGTATATGGATAGTGTAAATTAATCTGTCGTTCCTCATCCCAAGCCAAACTCACTGCTGTGGAGTCGATGCTAACACATCGTGACCCAAGACAGCAGGCTGTAGGACTGCTCCCGTGTTTCAGAGACTGCAACTCTTTATAGGAATAAAAGGTCCCATTTCCCCTGAGGAGTGGCTCGTGGTTTGGAACTGCTGACCTTGCAGACCATAGCCCACCTCGTAAGCCAGGAAGGAGCCTAAAATTACTTACATTGCAGGGTTGTTGTTAAGACTCAAAAGAAAAGAACAAACTTACTGCCATTAGTCAGTGTTGACTCACAGCAACCCCCTATGGATTTCTGAGACTGAAACTGGTTGGAGTAGAAAGTCCAGTCTTTCTCCCATGGAGGTGCTGGTGGTTTTCAACTGCTGGCCATGTGGATCACAGCCCAGTGCATAACCACTAGACCACCAGGTTGTAAGACAAGAATTGACAAATTTGAGTTGTGTGGTACACACACATTATATGTTCAATAAGTGGAATTTAATTTTTTAATTAATAGCTAAAAATGGTATATCACATTGTTTTCCTGGAAAGAATAGATTGTATATAAAATAGAAAATTGGTCGCCTCTATTAGTAATATTTTATTATAGCAATTTCCCCCTTAGACTGTTTACATTTATTAAATTATCTTGTGTGTTTTAAAGAAAAGTTAGCAAAGTTAGCTCTGTAAGATATTTATAAAATTAAATAACAGCTATTTCTCTTCAAAGAATAGAAGAACCAATGGATTTGGGTGTTTTCAACCTAAAAATTGTGGACTGCAGAAATATAATGATAATTTTAAAAGTCAATAAAAAAATGAATATTAAAAAAAAGAAAATGAATATTTAACTATACAAAAATTAAAGTAAAGAAATAAATCTAAATGTCTTAATACAAATAAACCAGTCTCAATGCTAAGTGAAAAAAAGCAAAACTAAAATGAGAAAATGAAATCTGTAACAGTCCTGTAAGCTATAAAAAATAAACAATATTTTCCACCACTTATAGATACATATATGTAGTACAAGAGTAAAAATTAGAAGAAGCAAACACATGAACCTCAGGGCAGTAATAGGAAAAACAGGTGTGGAGAAATGAACCCGGGGGATATTAACAATATCTTTAATGTTTCTTAAAGTCACATTGGTAATGGCAAAACAGGTTTCAACCTAACAATTATGAAAGTTGGACACGCTATTTAAAAAAACAAACAAATAACAACACTGGTTTGAAGGCATGGGAGAGTACCCTAAAGGAGGCAGCATTGAATCCAGGACAAGAGAGGGACCTGTAAGGAGAAAGATGCATACTTGTATCTAGGGCATTTCCTAGGCTGTGTATTGGGAAGTAAAAAAAACCCAAAAAGAGTCCTATTGGCATTCTGGCCTGACAGAGCTTCTGGGGAAACAAAACAAAACAAAAATCCCTCACAACCATGGAATTGATTTCAACTCAGAGTGGCCCTAGAGGACAGAGTTGAACTGCCTCTGTGGGTTTCCAAGACTGTAACTCCACAGGCATAGAAGACAGCCTCATTCCTATCAGGGGGACAAAGTCTATAAAACTGCACAAGTTGTGAGATAAACTATCCTGGTGGTGTGGAGCAGCATTTATTAATTAAAGGGGTTTCATTCATCCATTCAGCAGCTCTTCCAGAAGCCTACAAAACATTTACTGCCATTTTCATAAAAAACTGTCATTTTAAGGGGTCTTGTAAGAACATGAACTACTGGAGTGAATCTGTATTTTTGAACAGTTAGTAGACGTGGTTTAGATGCTTTACTCAATAACAGCTTAGTTGCTTGAGGAACAGGTTGGTCAACAAGCCAGACCCAGGCAGATAACACATTTGGTTATTTGAAGGGCTCTTGCAGAATTCAGCGACTCTTTAAATTTATTTTAAAAACAAAAAGAAACTTCTTCATCAACCTTAGTTTAATAGTGTTTTGTGGGGTGGGGAGGGGGAGGGCACAACTTTTTTCTATATGACGTTCTTGTAAAATATTTACTTTTAAAAGATTTGCCCAAAATAATAATTTATAAATTATCAAGGGTTCATGAGGGAAGGGTAAAAATGAGGAGCTGATTCTAGGGGCTTACGTGGAGAGCAAATGTTTTGAGAATGATGAGGGTAACGAATGTACTAATGTGCCTTATACAATTGATGTATGTATGGATTATGATAAGAGTTGTATGATCCCCCAATAAAATGATTTTTTTTAAAAGATAAAAAATAAAAGATTTGCTTTGGCACTATCCAAATCTGCTACCGAGGAAAGCAAAAACCATTAGCATGGAAAAAGCAAACTTGGCTGCACAATACATCAGAGATGAATTTCATTTTGCTCTGTTGGTCAAATCCACCTTTCCGCCAAGATAACACCGTAGCCCATTAGATTCAAACTCAGGAAATCTGAACAGTGCCAACTGACCTGAAGATTGAAGGGTTCCTTTTCCTTTAGCTGTGTGTGTTGCTTGAAAGTGAGTGGTTGCTCTTGGAACAGCTATGACCCGTGTAGCTGTAACAGGGGCAGAGGTTTGTGTAGTCTTGAGCCTTTTAGTCACTGGGGCATGGGCAGCAGTGGATTTGTGTTTTGTTGGAAGAGTCTGTGTAACTAAAACATTTGCTGTGGAGGATTGTTGGGTTGTTGGTGTGGCATGCGCTACAGAAGAAGCATTTGCCGTGATGGGTTTCAGGAATGCTGGTGAGGTCTCTGTAGGTAGAGCATTTGTTACTGGGGATTTTTGTCCTGTTGCTGGCACCTGTGTGACTGAAACACTTGCTGCGGTGGGTTTCTGAGCGGTTAGTGGTGGTTCTGCAGGTGGGAGATTTGCTGCGGTAGGTTTCTGAGCAGTTAGAGGGGGGTCTGCAGGTGGGAGATTTGCGGAGGTGGGTTTCTGAGCAGTT